TATGAGTGCGTACTTTTTTGCTGATCTTTTTGAATCCCGACCTCCACATCTTCCCTGACCTCCCCGAACGCGAGGTAGAACACGACCTAATCCATTGTGACTGTCCGTCTAAGCCACGCCTATGTCAGCAGTTCGATATTTGTGGCATGGTGATAGTGGAAAAAACAGTTGAATACTTCAAACTCACTTCAGGATTTTTCCTTCGCTGATGCCAGATATGAAACGCGCACATCGAAACAGCAATCACTACGAGGAAAGTGATGGCACCAACCATAATTGCGAAACGGTATTTATACTGAAAAGAAAGGTTAGCCATGATAAGGTTATCTGAGACATCCATGTTCTAAGCGCAAAAGTCAACAACTGCGGACTATGTGACCAACATAAGCTAGAGACGCAATGACTAAAATACCATTCAATATCTTTAGGCGCAAGCAGGTGGGCAGCGGAATGGATTTATTTCAACGTTAAAGGCGGTACACTCAATGCAGATCATAAATTTTGAACTTAGTGTGCCAGAGGATGAATGCAGCTCCATGACAGTGGCACAGGAGGTGTTGCAAGGTTGTAATAATAAAATCAATGGTGATCAACGCATTCGACTGCGCCTTGCATTTTAGCAGCCATATTTCAAAGCAAGACTCCACGTTTATGAGCTTCTGACCAACGTGGTGCCTTGCGGAGGCTATTTGAAACCATTTTTATGTCAACACTTGCATATCTCCATAAGCTTCATTCACCTTGGAGGGCTACAGAGGGTACATATATGTGCGCCTTAGCCCTCGAAGGTGAGTGTACAGCCATGAAGTGGACCGTGAGTGAAGAAGGAAAGGGAACCACACAAAACTTTGGAGCGAGAGTCCTTTTTCCGACGGTCAATGAGACTATAATGAGGAAATAGTGGGTGCCGAGAGGAGATAGCATAAGGACCCTTGAGACGCAGATGAAAACGCATTGGCGATAGCGGACGTCTACCGCAACAAGCAAAACCTGGGCACACACATCATTCATCACCCCTCTCGGAAAAGAAAGGGGCACTACCTTCGCGGATACAGTCTCAGTTGCTTTGATCACAGAAAAGATTGCCTTCAGCCATAGAATGTGCCTCTGATTCAGATTATCAATAAACGAACCTGTTGATTTGTCTTCTTCCGAGACTGCCGTGCATGACTCGGATTATAGTTGACCGTACATATTGGATACGGTTGAATCTTTGGTCCCACCTGAGAGCACTGATCACAGTGCAACCCCTTGTACTTGGTTGGGACATATGCACGACTGGGACATATTCTTCATGTCTGAAAACAGCCAACATAAAAACGGTTTGACAGGGTTATAAGAACTGTGATAAAAATCTGGCCCTTACAGTTTTTTCATAGTATTTTTAAACACTCACTTGGATAACCATGGTAACAAATAATCCTCTCACAATAATCGCCTTCAAAATGTTTGTTGCATATGCACCTGAATGAATAAACATGTAGTAATTAGTTAGTATATTTACTGATGAGTTCAGGTCATGATCAACTTATTTTGTTTGGGCCTACTAAAAGCCTCACATCACAAGCTATAAGACACTTTAACGACTGGGTATAAGATGTTATTGCGTTCGAAAATGGACTTGTTACGGTAATTGATTACCGAGAACGAAATATGGCAAAAAAAAAAAATGCTGTCGTTTTCTGGCTATTGGTAGCTGACGAACAAGCTACCAGTAAAGGGTGGGGCATTAATGGCGTCAATATAGCGTAGCACAACCATTGAGGTGCTGATAAGGGCTGAGTTTACTATCTTGTGTTACCGCACGCCAACGACAACAGTTTCAATGCGACACCCACCCCTCGCCCTAACATTGACGTACGCCAGGAGCAATCTTCACGAGTGTTGTAGAAGTGCTGGCGGTGGCAAATGCACTTTAAGTGCGATCGAAATCACGTCAGCGTGTTTAATTACGCGTTGTCACATCGGCTAGTGAACTGACATTCATCACCGAAAAATGAGCCAATGCACTCACATTTGTTGTTCTTCCATTCACCTCTGTTACCGCACTGTAGAAATGATTTACAATTGACTAGTGGTCTATGTGAGCATTGGGATAATATACTCGATATCGGTGAGTTGGGGTGGGCGTGTCACCGGAAGTGACGTGCACTTGATAGAAACTATGTGGATAAGCTGCTTCCAACATACATCGCTGGATATCAGCAAAGCATGCTGGCAACAGCTTATCCACGCACTTCTATCAAGTGCACGTCACTTCCGGTGACACACCTACCCCAACTTTCGGATATCGACTGTATGTTTAATGACATAAGCGTAATTTACCTAGATTGCGTCTCATATAGCATGATTCAAAAGATGAGCTTTGCTCCGCTACTTTCCCTCCACTTCTCTCCTTCGCCGCGATGCAAAACCTAGTCATTACCACATTTTTCTTGTCGTTCTTACGACTGAGGTCCTAATTTTAGCCAAGACATTCTTCAGAGCAGCGCATGTGGGGATATATGAAAAGGATGCAAGTAAATAGCGTTCGCTATACCCGATGGAACTGGTAACCGGCAGAGTGCCCTCCATGGATGACGAAATACAGGATGGACGACGCGATGCCTTGTCATCTCCATGCGCGGCAGATGGTGACGGTGTGTTATTGCCGCTAACAAACGTGAGTATATTTACGTGTAGTTGTGTAGTAGGGGTTGTAGTTTGGGGAGCGCCAGGGCAGGGGCCCGACTAAGGCGCAGTATTATTGTGTGTGCTGTTATGTTGTGGGGTTGTAGCCGGGGCAAGGGAGCCCTCGGCCCTCAGGCTGGGAAAGCCTGGGCCGGCGGCAGGCTCTTTGCTTTGTATCCAAACCCTCTTTCTGGAATAGGAACCTCGTGATGCCCCGGGGAGCGGAGGCCATGCTGGGAGGGAAACCAGCGTGGTCCCCGGGAAGGACCCGTAGGATGACGTGTGCCTGGGAAAGGCCGCGAGGGCCCCGAACCACCTCGATGCGTCGTGTTGGAGGGTTAGGAGGGTGACCGCTCTCTAACCACGACACACAGGTTACTCCTTATTCCGTATTCTTATACTGTTGCTTGATGTGCGGGACCCACACTATGATTTCCTAAATCCATCAAAGGCTTAACAATATAGTAGCATGTTTCGGTGCAAGGCTTACTCAGAACAAAGATGAATCAAATGTTAGTTCAGTACTCTTTCAGT